TCTTCCAGTCGAGTCGACTCCGCGAGCACCGAGTGAATCGTTGAGTTGCAGACTCGCGTAACGGAGCAGCGGAAAATTACCGCGCGCGGGTGGCTCGTTAATAATTCCGTTGCAACAATTATTCCGCATTTCGGAGAGCTTATCGCGCGCGCTGAATCGCGGCGGCGTGTCGTCGTACGAAGTCGCGTACGGATCAGCCGCTGAACTGACTCGCGTGGTACGGAAGGAGGGGGCGGCGTGACGGCAGTTCAAAGCGAGCGGCGAGACGTTGCGCCGTGGGACGCCCGGACGGATCCTGGGCCTCGGTACGTTCCTCCCGCGTAAGTATCGCGACCGGCCGCGTCCCCGGGCCGCTCGTCCACCGCGAGTCCGCGTATCGGCGACTCGGCGGGGCGCGTACGGCGCCGAGTTTCCCCTCGATCGGAGAGGCTTTCGGGTGCCTCGTTGCGACTGAGACGGCGGCCATCGGCCCAGCGAGAGTTGCCTCGTCGAACGACGTCGGAGACGAGGTCGAGTCGACGTCGTTTCCCACCGGGTCCTGACCGGAGCCCGCGCGAATCGTCGCGACGTGCCAGATCTTGCCCGCGACGGTTATTCGGAGTGCGAGAAGCGGACGGGAGTGCGTCCGCGGCGAGCAACAGGTGCGGCGTCGCCGCGACGCAACCGGAGTCTCGAGTCGCGTGAAGTTGGCCGCGCGCGATCTCGCGAATTTCTTTCCTCGCCATGTTGAATCCGTCCGTTGCGCTAACTGCGTCGTGGGTGGCGTCGGTTTTTCCGCGCGTCGTTGCTCGGGTCGCGGCTAACTAGCGGGGCGCTCGGTGTGATTGAGCGGTCGCGCGCGATCGACGGGAGGGCCGTGTCAAGTGCGTGCGACGGGGGTTGGCGAGGGATAACGGCTAACCTTGTCTTCGCCAAGTTGTACGTGCTCGCGAGTGTGTGCGTGTGTGCATCAGTGGCAGGAATCGGGAGCAACGGCGAGGCGAGAGAGGAGGAGGAGGCCCGGGGAGGCAACAGGCGCCGGCGGAGCAACCGTGGGTGAGTATCTTACGATTGAGGATTAGATCGCCGGTGTAATTTCGAGGCTCGGGCTCGATAGCGTGGCCGCGCCTTGGTAAAAGCCCGTACGGGCCATTCGCGAAGGATCTATTCTGGAAACTCCGGTCCTTTTTCCGCGCATCTCGTAGCGTTGCGCCCAGTGAGAAATGATTCGTCGATCGACGTCGAAACGACGTCGAATCGACATCGACAACGTCGAATTGACGTCGATTCGACATTTCGACGTCGATCGACGAATCATTTCTCACTGGGCCGGAGATCGAGCCTGGCGAAATTATAATCCAATAGCTGCGTTCGGCGTCGCGAATCCGAACGCGTCGGAGTGCTCTTTTGCATTGGAGCGAGCGAGAGGGGAGAATGAGGTAGAAAGGGAGAAAGAGCACTTGGACGCCTCCGATTTGTAATACGTCGGATCTTGTCCAGGGAGAAATGACTCGTCGATCGACGAGCCATTTCTCGCTAGGTGGACGGTACAATTTATCTTTTTGTCTTTTACTGCGTTTTATTTTTCATTTGCTTTTTTTGTACCCGTATCGTGTGTGTTGTTTAAACAGTTTCTTGAGGATTGACTCGTTTGCACGACGACACGCGTCATTTTAATGTATGTAATATAATTGACGTAAAATAATTTAAAGTTTAGATTTTCTTTCGGGGATACTCGAAACTCCTTTTGCTTATTAAATTATTGGCGACACTTATTGAAAATTTAACGTTTAGTGAAAATTGAAAGAATATTTATAAGATACTCGGAAAAATATTTAAGATTGATTTCTAGTGATTTTGACGATGTGAGGTTTAAATTTACTCCTCCAATTTTGTACAAGTTAATGTTTGAGACGCTCACTCTTGGAAAACAATACTCTTTTGTTTGAACAAATAAAACACGCAGAATCATTTGTTTTTATTAATGCTGCTTTTTAATATTTGAATATATATTTCAATTTTACAGATTAACGTCGTATAAACTCCGCTGTTGCGCGTCGGGGACTGGTGAGTCACTAATTATTTTTATTTTTAGATAATGGATTTGTGACAAAACTGTATCAGATACGTAACAGTTTTTTTTTATTATCAGTAATAAATTAAAGATTAATATTTTCAAGAATAATAAATTTATCGACGAAATACTTAATATTATTTATTTTCATGAATGTACTTGAATTACTTTTTGAACAATCCTGAAATATTATTTCGGAAATATGATGATAATTTGTCTGAAGGCCGAAGAGTTCGTATCGAGATTGAGAATATATTATAAAGATAATTATGTCTCACAAATCCATTGTCTTGCATGAATTATTTTATTGAACAATATTTGTGATTATTTGATTTTTCGTATGTGCAAAATACACAATACTCGCACATCTAAATCGTGAATTCACGAATGAATATCGTAATCAATTAAATAAATAATTGATAAACAAATACTATTAATTACGAAAAATATCGATCTCGCAATCGATAATAGTAGAATAATTTCAAAATATTTGAGTTACAACATTGTAAATATTATACGAATGCAAATGAAGCCATACCAGAAATAGCTTCCATTTTTTTAACGTTGTGTTGGTAACACAAGTTAAATTGCCATTGACTTTAATCAAATCAAATTACAAAGTAATACCCGGACAGACTGTTTCAATCAAGCATCACATGCTTGAAAGGGGCAAAGTATGCATATTCTATACACGCGCAAATATAAAATCGTCACGTTATGCCATCTCTCTTTTAGTAGCAGTAGCTTAAGTCAACGGCGCACGATACTATTTTTCCTACTGGATTGCTTACGAGAGCCAATCAGGAATCAGTCTCAAGCCTGATCTAAAACTCTGCCCTCTTATTGGCTCTCGCGAGCAATCCAGTAGGAAAAATAGTGTTGCGTGCCGTTGGCTTTAGTCACTTTTACATAGTTTTACGATCCCGTCAACTGCGGTTCTTGCTTATTTTTGGGAATTGACACGACGTTCCGATCCTGCAAAGCAGTTAGGTTTAGCTTTAACCGTCGAAAACGACGACGCAGAAGCAAACGAATCTACCTTCTGTCGACGAAGCGAATTGAAAATCCCGCGTCGTTTCATAGTGTTAATGAGATTATACGGCAATGATCGTAAGGCAGAAACTTTAAGTCGAGGAGTAAACCGCCGAGGGCATTGTGGTGTACGGATTTGCGGCATTACTAAGCATTTTTGGGCATTAATTTGGGCACTAGATCTTGCTGGGGCATTATAAAGATAAAATAAGATGATAAGATAAAGTAGTGCTCACTGGACAAGGGTGGGCATTGGTCTACATGACTGGTCAGCGGTTTACCTCTCGCTTCAAGTACACAGAGAAATGGGAAAAATAAACAGCACATCCATGTGCCGCCTTCATAGACATTTGCTCTCATAATTATTCAATTGTATTCGATTGCTATGTATCAGGTTGATCTCGTAAAGGGATAATTAATTGATAGGAACACGTGGAGAGTCTTTCTCTTAATGACAATATATTTGTTTTCGGTTTTTGTGGATCTATTAATAGAGCGCATATCAATATTATTGGAGATAACAGATAATATATATTACAACCTATTTATATAATTAAGTCTATATATACAATAGGAGTATAGGATATTCAAAAAGAAAGGATCGTATCCATGATGAGAATACATTTCTTCGCGCAGAGATTTTCTATTACCATCCTCTTCTCACTTGCGGCGGAAACCCTAGCGTGCTTTTATAACAAATTCTTCAATCACGTATACCTTCCGTCCGTTCGTTAAGTACATGAACAATGTTATATAATTAATAGTGACAATAATGATAATAATAATAAAACGTAATAATAATGAGATAGTAATATAATAATAATTTATTTTTCTATTACGTTATATTATAATACTTAACGCTAAATTCTCCTACTTTTCTCTTTCTAACTTTTTACAAAAAGGTGTTTTGGTTTTTTCTTTCTTTTCGTGTTCCATTAACTTCTACTTACAAATCTAACAAACCGAGTTAACCTCGTTTAAGGTTCGAAAGGGTTTGGGACTAGACAATGACGTTCCTCATAACCCCGATCCTAGTTGATTACGTTTTGATATTCCTTTAGCTCTCCTCACCCTTTCGTTGAGCTTCACTCTGTACACGAGTTAGCGCGACGAGCGTTGCACTAACGAATCGCTGACTAGTTTCTAATCATTACGGCTACTCGACCGTGCTAATTAAGGCACTGAATCACCAAGAGTAGACGAATGTACATTTTCTCTCGAGTTTTAAGAAAAACAATCGATTAGATCTCAAGTTAGATCAGAAAATTATCGCCGACAATAATCGGGCGACGCAAGTGTTTGAAACGTACGCTCGCGTTTCAAAGAGATGCTTTCATCGGAAATCACTAATCGTTACAAAAAGTAATTTCCCCTTGAATAAGCGATAAGAAGTGTTAGGCTCGCTCCGTACCGACGAGAGCGATCTATCAATAAAAACCGATTCACTCCTCGATCCTCCGCGAGCTCGCATCGCTGTAAAATTGGTCGACTTTACTTCATTTAGTATCTAGTTGCTTAATTAACACAAGGCCTCGAAAATAAGACACTTGGTTGTCCGCTGATGTGCGATTTTAAGGCCACGGCGGCTAGACAAGACGTTTTTCGATTATCATGCACGCTTCATTTTCTTCCTACAAACAAGTCACATTTGTGATTCCATCTCCGGTAAAATCAGTTAATATCTCAACTAGTAATACGCGTAAGCAACGGAGAGCCGAAACAAGATAGTGTGCACGAATTAGTATATCGGTAGACAAGTACTTTGGAAGATACACCTTGTTATTATAACCATTTATAGATATATTTATAGCCGGTGTCTATAATCGTTTCTTGAAGATAAATAACTATTCGAAAGAATAATTAGAAATTGCGCGAGTCAATTGTATATATAATCGTATATAATTATAATAATTTTAATTATATATTACCATTATAATTATATACGTGTATAAGTGCACATTTCAACATGTATATGTATAGTAATAACAAATTCTTATCTACCAAGGAGCTATAAATTCTGTCTCTCGTCTCCCTAAGCGTTATCCTAAAAAGTTGATACATTACAGACAAACGCGATCTTTTTCCCCATGGAAATACAACTTAACAACTTACAGCACTAGAAATTTTCGTTTATCATTAAGCTTTTAGGGTCTACTTAAAATTTAACTAAAATTTAAAACACCTCCCTCTCCGAAAACCCGCATCTCCAACACCTCCGCTTCTAAAACTGTTACGGAGTTGTCGCATCAATCTTCGTCAGTATTTTTAGCGCATTCAATTAGCTTGGTCGAAAACATATCGCGTGTCGTGGCTAGGAGTGAGCTCTGAAAACAAGTTTCTCGAACGATATCGTCAAAATTTCTCAGGCCCGGTCTACAACGAAAGAAAGAGGATCAACGTATGGTTCCGACTTTTAACGACTAACAACTCGTTGCAGGTCAGGCCTTAGGCCTAGATTTACACTTGGCAGACAAGCGGAAATTGAATCAAAACGAATCAGGACTCTCGCTGATAGTCGAAAATTTCTACTTTCTGTCAGCAATGTGCTGTTCAGCGCGAGTTCTGATTGGCTTCTGCATTTCTCCTCTGCTTTTCTGCCCCTAGGTGCGAATCCAGCCTTACAGGAGTTCGTTGCACGAACGACGCGTTCGATTTAGGAATCACCGACAAAAATGTAGAAGCACAGAATTTTATAACACGAGTTCGAAAGTCAAGTTCGGAAACCTCGCGTGCAGTTACATTTCGATGCATCGCTGTTGTGATATTTTAGAATACGAAATATTTAGAAATCAAATTAGCGTCGTGTTCGAGATACAAAATTGCGTTGTGTTCGAAAGCCAGTAGGCCGTTGACGCACACAGCTTTCATAATTATGGACCAAAGTTACGTTTCGCTCAAGCCTCTTTTTCGGCACTCAAGTCCTCGAGTCGTTCGCACGACGAGGATCGCTTTCCCTGTACGAGCGATCGCCAGCTCGTTATAAATAATTACATTCGTAACTCTAAGAACCGTTGCGTCTTTTCTAAAAGTTGTGTTGATCGAGCGCGCCAGTATCCGGGCTGTAAGGGAGAAGGGAGAGGAAGATTAAGATCGGGGAGGCGAAAAGGGAAGAGTACGGATTAGCGAGAAGTTGCGGATCGCCAGCGACTACCCTCTGTCGCCTCGTCGAGGCTCATCCTCTTCGCCTCTTCGTCGGCTCTCGCGATTCGGTATTCCGGTACGATGTCGCGAGACGTGATCAGGAACATATAGAAATCTCGAAAAATAACTAATAACGAGGAAGATGATGAGCTGACCCCCTCCCCCCCCCGAAGACGACAATCGAATGCTTCGCGCAGCTCTGTCGCCCGTTTCCATTTCTCGTTGAAGGCTGTAACTATCTCGTAACGGTCTAGTGTTAAAGCTTTATTGCAATCTGGCCTCCTGAGGTGTTGTCTGATACGGTAAGCCCGGGAAAGCTGCTCCAGCTGCCGTCGCCGCCGCCGCCGCCGCCGCTGGCAGTCCTGCAGCACCTGGCAAAGTCGCATACGTGTACGGCGCCACGTAACCCGCCGCGGCTGCGTTCGCTGCAACGAGAAAAAGTATCTCCCATAAGCATTGCGCGCATACGATAACATTGCAATGATAACGAATATAATCAATCCTATAATTGTTTCTCGAGCGAAGCTCTTATTGCACAAACTCCTTCCTTCTAAAGTTTTGCACACGAGAGACAACACAGATCTAGTGTTCCAAGATAAAATGTCGCTCCTTGATACGTAGCAGATCGCAGAGAAGGCATACGCAAAGCGATTTGTGCGCGCTGTAAATCTTGACTGTGCGCCACAGCTTTTGTCCTTACTGCGCTACTCACTTGTAATACGTAAAACTGATAGAGTGCTTTCTCTCTCGTTGACCACCATCACTCACCACGAGAAAACACCGCCACCATCACCACAGACAGCACAGACAGACTTGGCAATATATATTATAGGCGTCAATTTTATAGTTGGTGAAGCGCATGCAAGACTTTGCCCCCTGTTCGCTCGTTCCCGAGCATCGAACAGTGCGACGAGATTTCGTGCGCGAGCGTACAAGCTAACGTAAGAAATATACATACACAGTTAAAAAAAAACTAATAATAAGAGTAAAACCACGTAAAGTAAATGGAAAGAATGAAATCTGCGGATTTACCGAGAATATTTCTGCTTAATTGTCACTGACGCGAGGGACTGCGAGAGACACTGAATGGCCGAATAATTGGAAAGAAAGCGAGATACGCATTTATCAGCGTGTATCAGCACAAAAGACGTAGCAGAATTCCCACGGCGGATCCGCCCGGAAATGCTCGGGGCTTTTGGAAAACGCTAGGCGTGTGTGTATAGAATAAGCGACACCTCATTGCATCCGTTCTCGCGACGGCGTACAACATCCCCGTCATCGGAATTATCATTCCCCCTAACCATGCATAATTCGGTGCGTAGCAAAAGCTGCACACATCAGGTTACGCGTTTCCCCAATTCAATTCCCGCCGCATTATCCCACGTGTCCCCCTCCCGCCCCTTGTGAAAACGAAAACCAGATCCTGTGAGAACCCCGCTCGCGCGAGGTAAGCACACCCGAGGAAAGTGTGCGTGGCGCGCAACCCTCCCCTATCTTTCAAGATCTTCTACCGTAATCACGCAGCACGGACGGCAGAAATTGCGGCAGGAGAGCTTTCTCCAGCCGTTGCTGATGCGCCAGCGTCGCACCGGGCCCGTTTTGCTGTTGCTGTTGGTGGTGTTGGTGGTGGTGTATCGGATAGTTGCTACCCTTGCTCTGGACACTATTCAAACACGTACCAGCCGCGGCCGCGGTGGTGTACGGGTACGCCTCGGCGAAGTTGTACGAGGTGCCCGGGTAGGTCGCGGCGGCTGCCGCCGCGTTCTGGTACTCGTAGAACTGCGATGCCGCGGCGACGGCGGCCGCGTGGCTCAACTGCGTCGTCGGGAGCGGTACCAGACCACCTGGCGCCGCAGCCGCCAGGTAGGGCGACTGGTACACGTAGCCCGGTGGTACCCTGCAAAACGAAAATGACCGTTAGCTGCGGACGCCGATGCCGCGTCGAGCGCAACGACACTCGAAGACTTGAGGCGGATGTTTGCAAATTACAAGTGCGACGCGCACCGACGGCAACATTGCTTTCTAAGGGAAAGGCAATTGAAAGAAATTTCGCTTTTGTTATGTAGATCGAACGCTCTCATTTCGTGCGAAATGAATATTAACCATTTTACCGCCGGGTCCTGTTAAGAATAACAACTGTTTGCCGTCAAGATCTTTTACCTTGCCCAGTTTGTAGCGACACAAAGGGAACATTAAATGCCGTCTCGTCCGTGAAACGATAATTTGCAAACAAGCACGCCAGTTTTGAAGCGGTCGACAGCCATCGGGCATCGCTCGATGCTCCTTTCGAAAAAGGTGCGACGAGGGAATGCGATGGCTCTCGTTCGCTTCAATTGTATACTTCTCTCATTTCCTGGGATACAGTGGAGTAAGGAAGGAAAGATAACGTACAGCAAATGTTATTCGTGTCACGATTAGGTGTGTAAGATGCGTGTAAGAGAAAATGTTCTTCGTGTAACGCGTGACAATTCGCGCTACCGTTCGTTATAAGATCGTCAATCGAAAGAAATATTTAATAACTCGTCTGTCTCCTGATTATCTCAATGGTCGTGTAAAGATAAAGACGGCGATCGTTAAATAACGTTTATCGCGCGTTTCTGCACCGCCGATTCGTCATTAAACGCGTGGAGCGCGCGCGGTGAAAAACACAAACTTTCTTTCTTGCGTTTCGCGTTACAAGAAGATTCTCGGCTCGACGGTCTTTCGCTCTCGAGCAGCTCTCTACCAACACCAAAAGCACGCAACACCAAACGGCAAAGTGAGCGAGGGACCGAGTTCTCGTCGACCGATCTTCGCGCCTGTGTAACGTACGGACGATCGGATCGAAACGCGCTTCTGTACGTCGACAGCGACGTCGATACGCGTGCGTATATGAACGAGAATATTACGGGATGTTTCATCTCACGACTCGAAAATCGCATATCTTGGAAAGGTTCGATTAAAATCCTTCAAACGAATCCATCTTTCCCTTTTGTCTTCTACATACAAGATCTGCGATCTCGAATCTGTGATGAAATTGTTCTGTGTACAAGTATTGGAAGTCGCGCACTCTCTCTCTCTCTCTCTCTCTCTCTCGTTGTTAGCTACAGAATTCCTGCCGGATCGAAATTTTGTAGCGCAAATTTAATCGAAGAATTCCGAACTTTTATTAAATATTTTAATAATTAAATTGAAAATCAAAATTCTATACTGAAGTGAGTCTCGCTTAAAATTAATTTCGAAGATTTCAGATTCTGGTTTTCACATCTTTGACTCACAATTCATTAAAAGACATTAATTTTTGACGATTCTTCTAATTCGATCTCTCTCTCTCCCTCCCTTCCCTCCATCAAATTTTATTATGAAATAGATCAACTTCACATTTATTAGCAAATTCGTCAAAAACTGAGAGAAACTCGCGTCTTCTAATATGTGTGTGTGTCTGTGCGTGTGTGTACATGTGTGCATGTTCCATTGCATTCTGATGATACCAGTTGCAATTATACAGAAAGGCAGCCATTAATTAGAAAAAAATTGAAAAAAAAATTCCTAAGATGTGTATTTAAAATTGTATAGTTCGAATGAGATTCAAAGAACGTTTTGTACTTGAAGAGTTTATCTATATAGAAATGTCACTTGGACAAACTTCGTTGCAGAAGATATACATCTGCAATTTACTTTTGCAAGGAAAATCACGTCCTCGTAAAACAAAAGAAACGAGCTAACATCAGGATGCAGTGAGTGTGTATGTGCGTGCGTGCTTACGTTCGACGGATATTCCGTTGGAAAAGGAAGTGGAGACGGGAAAGCGGAAGGAAGCAAGTCGACGTGAAAACGGTAACGTTGCTCTCACTGTGGTATCAATAATAAGGCGGAAAACGTACGCAACAATCCAAGAAAAAATCTTTCACGTGTTGGCAAAACAACAGCAAACCAACGACAAACGTGTATGTAGGTGACTGCACGAAATATAAATACTTCTCGGCACACGGCACACGATTATCTAACATCAACGTTAGTACCTAAATTCTCACAGATCTAAGGAAACGTCCCGAGTTCGCTATTCTCCGATTTTTACCATCTTTGAATATACAGTAGAGTATCTTAAAATAAGATACACATATTTTGTCACAAATACTTGGCTCTTTCTGCAGATTTAGGGGACGAACTCGATATTCTTACTCGTTGTCATTTAAATTATACAATGGAGCACGTAAAAAAAAATTAAACTGACTTTTGCCACGTCACATATTTAATAGGGATATAATAAAAACGTTATTTCGTTTAATACCGAATATTGGCGCGTTAGAAATGACGAAGTTTGAAATTTTTTAAACAGAAAAATGAGCAAAGTGACGTCGCATTGCGAATAATTTTTCGACACGCTATACTACCCAGTAAATTTGCTCGTTACGTTTCGCACGTCATTGCAACGACGAGTACAAGCATTGTTGACTGCATGCATTCATGCATGTGTGTGCATCGCATTCGTTACGCATTATGTAATGTTTTTATCAGTTATATTCTTAGAACGAGAGTGTCGAGTTGTCGTAATTACATCACTGTCAGGTTGTTGCATCCCCTAAATCTGCGGCAAAGCGTAGAAAAAGTACAGAAAGGGTCGCTCAACCCGGGTCACTCCAGAGTGTATCCAAATTCAGAAAAATCAACGCTAGACTCGAAACGTATCCTTGTACGAAAGGAGGAAAAAAGATAGTACATCTCACGGCAGTGCCTCCGTCTCCCTTACACTTTCTCTTTTACTCTCTTTGCCGTTCTTTTTACTCTTCTCAAATAATAACGCGCGGAAGATTCCGATTGGCGAGCGTTCTTCGATCACCCGCGAAATTTGTTCACCGATTCGCAATTGTTTCTTATCGATCGACGTGTGCTCTGCGAATACACAAAAATATATATAGGTAAATTCGTTTTCTAAAGTCGTGTGTACCGTCGTGCTTAAAAATTTACTGTATACGACATTATCTTGAGTCATCGAGATCCATATTTTCTGTCAAATGCTTAAGCACGTAATTTTGGAAGTTTGGTTCAATCAATTTGACACAAATTCACTAAGTAAATATCGATAAAGACTTAAACGTGGAACGTAAAACGAAAAATATCGTACATTAACGGGACAAACGAATTTATTAGGTTTACAAATATTAAGAATGCCGACTTGCGTAAGTGTAGATAGCCAGAGCGACGCAAGCATCGAAAGTTTTTCAAGTCAAGTTTTTAAGTCAAACTTGGGATTACAATGTTACCTCCGATTGTGCCCTTCGGGTAAGCCTAGTTTCGGCACGCGATCTCAATAAGCCGTATGTATGAGCGCGCGTCGTACGCAGTCAATAATGAATCGCGGGCCAACAGATATTCGATAACTGATTAAACGGTAAAGAGCGATTCCGTAGTTTCGAGACACCGCGAGGAGCCCGGCCTCTTTCCCGGAGACAGCCCTGAACTTTTTAGCGGATCGATAATAGCCAGTGTCCAGTCTGCGAAGGAAATCAATATGTCGTCCTGTGGCTCCGACCGGCACAGAGCTCCTCCGTAACGTCGGATTGGTGCCCGGTGACCATTATCACACAATCGCAAACAATCGAGAGCGCTTCGACACGCGTGTCGTACGTCGCTTAATTCGAACGAGCATGTCAAGTCGCGTGCTGCAACGGGGGGAGGGGAAAAAGAATCACAATGGCCGTAGAATCGACGACCTTGAATCGGACCTGTCATCCAGGATGGATGACCCACGCGGTCGATGAGCACTGTATGACGCGCGGGGCGGGTGAAATTATAATAAAGATAGAGGTAAAATAAAAAGAGAGCGACACGTATGTCGTTGCGCGCTATAATGTCGCTGTAATGTCGCATTGCGGACGAACGGCGTTCTTATCCGCGTCGTTTGATGAGGACCCGAGCGAGCGAGAGTCCGAGAATTCGCGTCAATTTGCATGGGGATTTGTCCGCGAGACGTTAAAGCGTGTAAGAAAGATTCAGCGAAGATGACTTCTAAATGAGCGTCTTTGGGAGGGAAAAGTATCGCGCCGCCATACTCCGAGAGACTGCAATCTTTCTCTTTATTTCTCTACGTTTGCTATGACTGTAATTTTTTTACAACATAATATTCATTCGCGTACAATTTAAGAGAGAAACTCGAGCAAGTCGTATGCGTTTGCGAAAGGAAGATAAAATCGGCGGCCTTGGCGGCGAAGGGCAGTGGATCGAGGGGCATAGGAATAGAAAATTTATGCACTCTGACGTTGCGCACTTTTTCTTTATCTCAGTTCCGGTTTTAAGACATTTGCTCAGTCTAAAAACGTTTCGCGAATAATCATCGGGGCGTCTCGTCGTTGCTCTTAACCGAGGCAGAGAGATTCGCGGGAGAGCGGGAAAATAAAAATAACAGAAATGTGACATGATAAATGAAACTCGACACGTTGCGCGGCAATCGATCTGTCTGTACAAACAAACGCACGGAAATTAATAGGAGTATTGCCAATTTTATTGACATCGAAGACTGTCAGCCACCTGCTGGACTTTTCAGTGTCTCTCTTTCACACGCACACACACACACACACACATACATACATACATATAGAACACTGAAGATTAATTGATGGACGCTCGTAAAAATATCTCGTTTGTTCTTTCGTTTCATTCCACGATAGATTTTCCATTGACTCATTAATTCCCGTTAACTTGGAAGAAGAATTCACGGGCGGAGATAAGGTTTACGATTTTCCAATTAACGAACGCTGACAGAAAAATGTCTGAATATATTTATTATTTTCTCGAGATAGCAACACCGAAGTTTCATGTCTCAATCAGCTGCTTCGTTAAAATAATTATCACGTGGTCAGGAGGGAACGTCTATAAACGTTTGAGAAAAGTGTGAGAGCGCATATTGATCCTCTCCGA